TCTGAAGAGCTGGGGCCGCTGAAGGGTCGAGGCCGCTGAGGGACCAAGGGGGGGAGGGCACGTCTGGAACGTCGGGCGGGAGGGGAGAGGGAGAGAGGGGAGAGGGAGAGAGGGGAGATCATGGAGGAGATCGTGGGGAAGAGATCAGGGGTGTCCATGTCTGTTAGGGGAGATGAGGGGTGTCCATGAGGGGAGACCATGTCTGTGAGGGGAGATGGAGGGTGTTAATGAGGGGACACCATGGAGGAGATGAGGAGTGTCCATGTTCGTGAGGGGAGAGATCATGGAGGAGGAGCTGAGGGGTGTCCATGTTTGTGAGGGGAGATGAGGGGTGTCCGTGAGGGGAGACCATGGAGCAGATGAGGGGTGTCCATGTCTGTGAGGGGAGATCATGAATGAAATAAATGGGCAGATCTTTCTCCCTTTTTAATGCCTTTATTAAAGAGATTCAGCTCAGGTGGGAAGAAATCGACGGGTTGCGCCCACGCCACCGCTGTCCCCAAGAATGGCACAGAGGAGGAGGATGATGATGCAGCTCTGTCCGCTGGTCTGCAGGCAGAGCTGGGGATTCCGTCCTCACGGGAGATTAGCAAATTCCTGCTTTTCGGTCCAACACTTCGGGTCCTCACGGGAGATTCGCAGATTCCTGCTTTTCGGTCCAACACTTCGGGTCCTCACGGGAGATTCGCAGATTCCTGCTTTTCGGTCCAACACTTCGGGTCCTCACGGGAGATTCGCAGATTCCTGCTTTTCGGTCCAACACTTCGGGTCCTCACGGGAGATTCGCAGATTCCTGCTTTTCGGTCCAACACTTCGGGTCCTCACGGGAGATTCGCAGATTCCTGCTTTTCGGTCCAACACTTCGGGTCCTCACGGGAGATTCGCAGATTCCTGCTTTTCGGTCCAACACTTCGGGTCCTCACGGGAGATTCGCAGATTCCTGCTTTTCGGTCCAACACTTCGGGTCCTCACGGGAGATTCGCAGATTCCTGCTTTTCGGTCCAACACTTCGGGTCCTCACGGGAGATTCGCAGATTCCTGCTTTTCGGTCCAACACTTCGGGTCCTCACGGGAGATTCGCAGATTCCTGCTTTTCGGTCCAACACTTCGGGTCCTCACGGGAGATTCGCAGATTCCTGCTTTTCGGTCCAACACTTCGGGTCCTCACGGGAGATTCGCAGATTCCTGCTTTTCGGTCCAACACTTCGGGTCCTCACGGGAGATTCGCAGATTCCTGCTTTTCGGTCCAACACTTCGGGTCCTCACGGGAGATTCGCAGATTCCTGCTTTTCGGTCCAACACTTCGGGTCCTCACGGGAGATTCGCAGATTCCTGCTTTTCGGTCCAACACTTCGGGTCCTCACGGGAGATTCGCAGATTCCTGCTTTTCGGTCCAACACTTCGGGTCCTCACGGGAGATTCGCAGATTCCTGCTTTTCGGTCCAACACTTCGGGTCCTCACGGGAGATTCGCAGATTCCTGCTTTTCGGTCCAACACTTCGGGTCCTCACGGGAGATTCGCAGATTCCTGCTTTTCGGTCCAACACTTCGGGTCCTCACGGGAGATTCGCAGATTCCTGCTTTTCGGTCCAACACTTCGGGTCCTCACGGGAGATTCGCAGATTCCTGCTTTTCGGTCCAACACTTCGGGTCCTCACGGGAGATTCGCAGATTCCTGCTTTTCGGTCCAACACTTCGGGTCCTCACGGGAGATTCGCAGATTCCTGCTTTTCGGTCCAACACTTCGGGTCCTCACGGGAGATTCGCAGATTCCTGCTTTTCGGTCCAACACTTCGGGTCCTCACGGGAGATTCGCAGATTCCTGCTTTTCGGTCCAACACTTCGGGTCCTCACGGGAGATTCGCAGATTCCTGCTTTTCGGTCCAACACTTCGGGTCCTCACGGGAGATTCGCAGATTCCTGCTTTTCGGTCCAACACTTCGGGTCCTCACGGGAGATTCGCAGATTCCTGCTTTTCGGTCCAACACTTCGGGTCCTCACGGGAGATTCGCAGATTCCTGCTTTTCGGTCCAACACTTCGGGTCCTCACGGGAGATTCGCAGATTCCTGCTTTTCGGTCCAACACTTCGGGTCCTCACGGGAGATTCGCAGATTCCTGCTTTTCGGTCCAACACTTCGGGTCCTCACGGGAGATTCGCAGATTCCTGCTTTTCGGTCCAACACTTCGGGGAGGGGTGGGGAGATCTGGGAGGGGAGATGAGGGGTGTCCATGTCTGTGAGGGGAGATGAGGGGTGTCCATGAGGGGAGACCATGTCTGTGAGGGGAGATGGAGGGTGTTAATGAGGGGACACCATGGAGGAGATGAGGAGTGTCCATGTTCGTGAGGGGAGAGATCATGGAGGAGGAGCTGAGGGGTGTCCATGTTTGTGAGGGGAGATGAGGGGTGTCCGTGAGGGGAGACCATGGAGCAGATGAGGGGTGTCCCATGGAGGAAGATGAGGGGCAGCCCCTCCTGCTATTTTGGAATATTTTTTCTCAGGTGTGGCGGCAGAACCAGCTGCCTCTCAAGGTGAGAGAGATCTCAAGGCGATGGATTTCACAGGCACCTCCTTTGCATACATAACAACTCACTTTTCATTTTAATTTTAATTTCAGCACGTAATGAGCTGACTGAAAAAACCAAGCCTGAGGAGCTTGGGAGGAAATTTAGGAGCACTGGAAATAGAAGATTTTGGCTCCTGCTTGGATGCATTGGAGAAGGTATTTGATTTTAGAAATTAAAAAAAAAAAAATACAGATATTTTGTTGGGAAATCACATCAGGTTTCATGTTTCATATCACAACTGGGTGAAAACCCTTTCCTGTCCCAGCATTTTACCTCGGACAACAGTAGTAAAATCCCACCTGGGTTGTGTAAATTCATTGTTGGTAAAAATAAACATTTTTAGAGTGCTTGTACAGCAGCTCTGCCTTAACGTACTATAAAGGGACAAACACCAAAATTAGGGATTTTTGTCATGGTGACAAAAAGCTGAAGGGTTTGAAGGGAGGGGAAAAGAAACGGCCCAAAGTGAAATAAACACCAAAAGGAGAAGTGCTGGTGAAAAATAAATAAAAAAGAGAGTGGTGATGGGGAGACCCCAAATCCTTGGGAATGGGGTAAAAAGGGAGCCCAAATCCTTGGGAATGGGGTAAAGGGGAGCCCAAATCCTTGGGAATGGGTTAAAGGGGAGCCCAAATCCTTGGGAATGGGGTAAAGGGGAGCCCAAATCCTTGGGAATGGGGTAAAGGGGAGCCCAAATCCTTGGGAATGGGGTAAAGGGGAGCCCAATTCCATGGGAATGGGGTAAAAAGGGAGCCCAAATCCTTGGGAATGGGGTAAAGGGGAGCCCAAATCCTTGGGAATGGGGTAAAGGGGAGCCCAAATCCTTGGGAATGGGGTAAAGGGGAGCCCAAATCCTTGGGAATGGGGTAAAGGGGACCCCAATTCCATTGGGAATGGGGTAAAGGGGAGCCCAAATCCTTGGGAA